AGCTGCCACCAAGTAGCAACCCCTGATACACACATTGCTCTGGGAATGGTGCAGCCGCAACGTGGACGAATGATTTCCATGGGGGAAGCAACGGCTCCCGGGTACGGCTGCGCCTCATCCGGGGGGGTCGGGATATGGTTCGCTGCTTCGACGCTCGCATTTTCCCAGCGCTTTCGTCGGGAGCCCCTCCCTCCTCTCTCAAGAGGCAACCACCATGCTGACGGCCTCGTCGAAACCTATCCTCTTCTAGCTGCTGGCAAAGTCTGCGTCTGACATGGCGTTGCTCCAGATAATGCAACTCACATTTTCTGTCGAGGGGTGGAGGTTCCGTGCCGCACAGGCGCACGATCATTTCAAGTTTGGTCCAAACTGAGGCTTGACGCTAGCGGCGGCAAGTGACCAAGCTTCACCACACTGATGTCGGTGACACAAAACAACGGGCGGCCGTCTTTGGATGCAAGAGGCGGAGGACGAGGCGGAATGTCTTTGGATGACACCATGTACCCGCGATGGCCCGACGAGGCGCTGGGGGCGCCCCACCCCCGCAACACTCTGCTATCTTCCGCCATGGGTAGATACTGATCCTTGCCTCCCTCTATAACTAGACGTTTCATGGACCACATGCGTCAACATCGAACAGCGCAAGACAATACTCAACACTCAACACATCCACCGTAACTCGCCAACCCAACAATCCAACGGAATTCGATATCCGCCGCGCGGGTAAAACTTATGTGGTGTGTGTGTGTGTGTGTGTGTGTGTGTGCGCGCTGTTTTTTCTAGACACCGCGCGGGCGAAAGCGGCCCTGGGGATCAGTGGACCCCTCTGGGGCCGACATTGTCTTACATCGCCCCAAGATCGCGGATCTAACCGCGTCACGCCTCACAGCGTGTCAGGCCTCATGCTGACCCTGAGATGGTCCCACAGCGGCCCAAGACGGTGCGAGCCAGTCCTACGGACGGCAGGCTCGATCACAAAACGCCGCGCCTCAGATGCTCCCAAGAAAACCAAAACCATATACCAATTACTCGACACGGTGATCCCAAGGCGTGTATCCAATTTTCCGGGCGCGTCTCGCTGAGAGTGTGTGTCTGTGTCTGCGAATATCTGGGTGTGTATCGGTTTTGCCCCCCCCCTCCCCCCCTCTCCCTTCCCCCCCTTCGCCAGGGGTGCTGCAACCAGCGTCTCGCTCGGGACATCCTCACAATCTGCTGGAGGGGTTAAGGAGGAGGGGCGATGAGGATGAGGGCGAGGAGAGGAGCGAGGAGGGGCGCGAGGAGCAGGATAAGGAGGATCAGGGGGATCAGGGGGAGGAGGATGAGACAAGGGGGTGAGGGGTTAGGAGGACAAGAAGGTGAACAGGAGGGCTGAGGATGATGAGGTTGAGGTCGTTTTCCCAGCGCCTTGCTCGACATCCTCGCGATCTGCTCTGGCCCCTACACGCCACCCTGCTCCCCCCACAAGAAACCAAGGAGTCTGGGCCACCACGCAAGCAAACCGCTTGAAACACCCTTCGCAGTCTGAGCGCGACCGACCGAATGTCCTAACCCCTGGTGGTTCCCCTTTGGGGTACTGAAACCCGCACCTCGCTAGAGAAATCTTCCCAATCTTGCTCTGGAAGCACCGACGCCCGCGTAACCAAACAGCTAAAACGCTGAGACATCCACATAATCTGGCAACGAACGGGCTAGCGCACTGCCCCCTGACAGGCCCGCCCTGGGGTGCAACCGCCAGCACCTCGCTCGAGACATGCGTCCCCGCAATCTGACGCCCCCCCCATCCCATGGGGTGCTGAAAACAGAGCCTCGCACGAGGCACCCCATCCTCACATTCTGCCCTGAAAACGGCGAAGTCTAAGCAACCACGCGCGCAAACCGCCTGAAACATCCCCACATTCTGGCCGCGAACCACACCCCAGCCGCAAATGGTCCAGTGCAACATTCAGTGGTGCTTTCCCCCCTCGGTATTGAAGCCAGCGCCTCGCCAGGGACATTGTCGCAGTCTGCCCTGGAAACGGCGAAATCCAAACAACCAAACAACCTAACCACCTGAGTCTGAGTGCGAGTGAGCAGGAGTGTGCGTAAGTCTGAGTGTGAGTGAGTCTGAGTGCGAGTGTGAGTGTGATGAGCCTGAGTGGGCGAGTATGAGTGTGAGTGAGCCTGAGTGTGAGCGAGCCTGCGTGCGTGAGCGAGTCTGCGCGCGAGCGAGTCTGAGTGTGAGCGACTCTGCACGCGAGTGAGCCCGAGCACGAGTGAGCCTGAGTGAGGAAGAAGAGGAGCGGCAATGGTGGGAAAAGCAAGTGTGGGAAGTGTGCGTGGGAAGCGTCCAGGTAGTAACAAGAGCCCCATCGTAAGATAATCCCAAAGCCTTCGTAAGGCGACCAATCGGTTCATCTCAGAGAATCCGCGCTGGCCTCTCTGGGCTGTTTCAAAGAATCCACTCTGGACTCTATGATACAATTCATCAGGAGTGTCAAGATGGCTATGATGGCGTGGACGGTGACGATGATGACGATGATGGCGTCGTTTTGCCTGCTGCGAAAGCCCGCCCGCGGTCGTGCCGAGCCGCAACTGCGCGTTCGCGTAGGGAACACCAAGCGCGTGCTTCCATTGTCTTGGCTTTCCTGCCCGTGCGGGCTTCCGCCGGCCACTCGGGTCCAGAGGGCCCCCCAAAGGGCCACGCAGGAGCTCCGAGATGGCACGAAGCACGCCGAGAGGCCCCCAAGAGGGCAGCACCATAGCCCCCAGAGGGTCCAATACGGTGTGGGCAGTGGATAAGGAACCCTTAGATAAGGAATCCAGGGTCTGGAAGCCACTGGAACTCCAATTGTGGTTCGGCCATGGATATCACCACCGCCCTCATTGGATGAGGAATCCTCCAGGGTCTGGCGCCTCCTGGGACTCTTCCTTAACAAACGCCTGCACCGTAGCTGCCCAACTGCGGGGTCAAGCGGGAGACAGGTCCCAAGATGGCCCTAGGACAGCCGAAGAGGCCCCAAGACTACCCGAAGGGTGGCCCAAGATGGTCCCATACAGTCCCCAAGGAACACTCAAGAGTCCCCAGAAACCCCCAAGGAGGCCCCTGGCAACCTTTAGATCTGACGAGAAGTGCCCCAGGGTGGCCAGAATCATGAAAGACACGTATTGCTTTTCATTGTTTTCGGGCTTCCTGCTCCTACGGGCTCCAATCAAACACCCTCAAAGGTCTCAGGACTGCCCAAGAGTGTGCAGCCGAGCCCAAAGAGGGCCCAAGAGCGGCCCACCAGCGGAGAACAGTGGGATGCAGGCCACAAGCTGGCTCCATGCTGCCCTCACGGTGGCTCAAGATGAACCAAGACAACCCCCGAGGAACCTCCAAGGGGCGCCTCAGAAGCCCCGGAGAGGCCCCGAATAACCCCCAGAGTGATCCCAAAGTTCCCCACGAATGCCCGGGTCATGGAAAAACGCACACGCAAACGCTGTTTATGATAGTGGTGTCCCTGCCTCTGCGGGCTCCAGTGGGCTTCTCAGACCGCGTGGCGGCACCAAGAGGGCCCCAAGATAGCCCTGAGAGGGCCTCAATATTCCCAAGAGGGCCCAGCGAGGTCCAATGGCGGCCCAACGGTGGTTAGTGGGAGGTAGCCTCCAACACGGCCCCAAGATAACCAAAGAGGACCCATGATGATCCTGAGGTGGCCCAAGATGGTCCAAGACAGCCCTCCAAACAAACTCCCAAGAGGCCCCAAGAAGCACCTGAGAGGCCCCAGGCGATCCCTGTGAGGTCTTCAGGTTACCCAAGAGGGCTCCAGCAGAGCTCAAAGAGGGTCCCCAAGTGGGGATTCGTGGGAGGCAGTCCCCAAGATGACCCCAAGACAGCCTTAAGAGGCCCCAAGATTACACCACGTTGGCCCAAGAAGCCCCTCAGAGGCCCCCCAAACCTCCCTGACGCATCCCAAAGACCTCGAATAGTCCCCCCATGATGCTCCGACAGCCCACGAAGGAATGTTACAACGTGCCTGCTCGTGCTTTCAGGCTCAAATGGCGGAACTCGGGTGGCAATGTTTTGCGTTCAATGTTACACTCCATATGCCAAACGATGGCTCCCCCTCCACGCGAACTTCACTCGAAAACTTTGGGAAACAATCACTGCCCAACACCTTTCCAATGCCCACGAACACACCGGCAAATGACAAACCTGGTGCAATATGTGCCGACGGAATGCGCGAAGCGTTCGCGTAACAACTTTGTCTGCCTGACATGCGTGCCCAAGCCTGGACACTTCGCGCACGGGCGAGAGGCTTAGGAATTGCTATGCCGACAGCATAACAAAACATTATCTGCGCAACGCACCGACCGAACACGATGATACTTCAACGGTGATCGTGGCTGGCTATGAACCACTACCACTTGCAACCATTGCCATCGTAGCCCTCTTGAATCACCGCACGACTTGAGAGGACAAGCTCGAAGCGCCTCCACCTTGACGGCACCCGATGTCACAATTCAAGGTTTTCCAGTGTCCTTGAAGCTGGCCTTCAGCGTGCTTTCGTCATCTGAAGAGTCCGAATCTGACGACTTCGCCCGCTCGGTAAGCGGCACGCCCATTCCTTTCTCGGAGTCTCTGACAACTGGCCGGCTGGCCACGTATAAATATATGCAGAGGAAGTGGCAGGTGCTAGCAGAGAGCACGAACAGATGCCAGATAGAATGGTCAGGCATTTCCCACACGTGGCCACTTCTTACGAAAAACGGCACCCCTACGGTGTAGAGAACCCCGCCGAGGATCATGAGGAACGCTCCCTCGCGGCCTAGCTCCTTGAGTATTTGGCGCATGGCAAAGACCGCTGTCCATCCCATGCCTAGAAACATTGTCAATCTCAGCACTGTTTCTCCCGGTCCACGATAGAAAGCTGCAATGCTGATGCCTAGAAAAGCTGAGGTCCACATGCCACGAATGAGCAACTTTGCCCATAATTCTCCATGGAAAAGAATTACGAAGAAAGGCGTGTACGAACCAGCAATCAATAAGAATATCCCACAAGCCGACCGTCCCCTTGCGGAACGTGGGTGCGCAACACTCTTGACGCCACGTCGAGTATCATATGTTCGAATTGACGTCTCCCCCCGTGTGACCTCAAGGTTTTTATGGTTAAAGCCGACACCAAACACTAGAATACACTAAGAGATACCAACCATGGCGAGGAACAGAACACTCGGCAATGCTCTACTTCCCTGTCGACACCCTACACCAACACTCGTTGTGCATGTGTTCTCCCAAATGCAACTCCCATGAGAGTACCTACGCTCCGCGAGGTCCCAAGTGAGGTCGGAAAATGGGAGGTGTGTGTGTGTGTGTGTGTGTGTGTGTTGCGATTCGAACTCCCGCGCGGAAACACACCTTTGCGCGTCAACGTCTTGCGGGGCGTGCTGGGTGCGCGGAGCTGTGTGTGCGCACCTGTCTGGGATGTGCCGCTCAGTCTCGGCCCTCCCGCGCCGCGAATACGTGTTCGGGGCTTGCCTCGAAGGTGACCGCTTTTTTTCTTTCCCCGTTGACGGCCGTTATCGGGGGGGGGGCGGGAGGGGGAGCTGGGTGGGAAGATAACGGTAACGGCGGCCGCGGCGGGTGCCCGCCAGGGGGCGTGCGCGCCACCGGCGCATCAATCGCCTGTGTACACGACGATGGCCAATGCTTGCGTGCAACACAGCGCCACCTGTGTACACATCACAATGCCTCCGTACACCAAAACAGCCACGTGCACTGCAGCACCACGTCGCCCATGCACGCCGCACTTCCTGTGTATACTGCAGCAACCGTTGTTTATAATTCGCCGGCCCAACGGGCCAGAGGCGTGCTAAGATCTCCGGTAACTGGTTCACAGTATTTCTAGTTCGCGCGCGCGGGGCGGCCCCTGGGGGTCCCCGGACGAAAAGTACCCCGGCAAGGTCCATGGAGAAGCCCCCAGAGCGCTCCAGGAGCGCACCAACAGAGCCCCGAGACGTCCCCGAGAGTCCCAAGAAGGGCCAATAGAGAGTCCCAAGAAGAGCCAAGAGCGCCCAAGAGGCCCCCAAGATGGTACACCAAGGGTCCGAGATGCCACATGATCGCTCCAAGACGCTCAAGATAGCCCCCAGACGCCCCACGAGGCTTTCAAGAGCACTCCCAAGAGGGCCCCAAGAGGCAAAGTTCATTGCTTTTCCTTCGGTTTGGGGGAGATTTTGGCGTTTCCACCTTTTCGGCATCGCGACGCCCCAAGACGGCCCAAGAGGCCCCCAAGATCGCCCCAAGAGGCCCGAGAGGCCTCCGACAGGGCCCCAAGACGGCCCAAGAAGGTTCCAAGACGGCCCAAGAGGCCTCTAAGACGGCCCAAGAGAACCCCAAGAACGCTCTAAGAGAAGCCCCAGAGGGGGAACACGACACAACATTTCGAGCCCTCGGCCCTAAGAAGCCCCCAGGAGGCACCAAGAGGCCCCTAAGAAGCCCCAGGAGGCCCCCCAAAGGCCCTCACGAGGCCCCCAAGAAGCTCCCAAGCGGCTCCAGGAGGCCCCCCAAATGCCCCCTGGACCACGCCAGCAAGTGCCAGCGATGCTACAATATGGGCAGCGAGCACAAAGAAATTCTGGGAAACTTCTGCACAGCGCTGCGTCTACCCTCCTCAGGCACTCCTCCTCCTTCTCCTCCTCCTCATCCTCCTCCTCGTCGTCGTCGACGCAAGACGAGGGAGAAGGGGGATGAGGAGGGAGGAGGGAGCACGAGGAGGAGAGAACAGCAGGAGGGAGTTGAGTCCTCCTCCTCCTCCTCCTCCTCCTCCTCGTCCTCCACCTCCTCCTCATTTCCCCTCCGAGACATGAAGGTCAGACGCGACACCCGATTCGGTGAGAGGCCCAATTCGGCGGCCCAACGGGCCAGAGGCGTGCGAAGATCTCCAGTAACTGACCCCAAGATGGTCCTAGAAAGCCCCGAGTCGCCGACCGATCGGACCAAACCGCTCAAAATGGCCTCCAGACGCCCGCAGACGCCTGCAAGACGCCCGAAGATGCCTCCAAGAAGCGTCTCAAGAGAGCCCCAGGAAGCAACAATTGTCGATTTCTCTTTGGTTTTTGAAAGATTTTAGCGTTCCCACCTGTTCAGCTCCCCGACGCTCCAAGACGGCCCAAGAAGCCTCCAATATCGCCCCAAGGCAGCCCAAGAGACCTCCAAGACGGGCCAAGAGGCCTCCAACACGGTCCAAGATGGCACCAAGACAGCCAAAGTGGAGGCCCAAAGTGGGAACCGGAACGGACATATCGAGCCCTCGGCCCCAAGCGGCGCCCAGAAGCCCCAAGATGCTCCCAAATGCCCCCAAAGGAGCTCCAAGAAACCCCAAAGAGGCTCCAACAGAAACCCAAGAGGCCCCCAAGAAACTGCCAACGAGGACCCCCAAAGTCCCCAAAAGCCCAAACGCCAGCGAGGGCACAATACGGGCCGGCGGAATGAGCGAAGCGGTTAAATAATATTCTACAAACAACCACTGTTTATTGTGGGATTATTCAATGGCCCGCCATGGAAAAAGGAGCGCCTCTGGATTCCACAAGACTCCATTTTGATATAGAAGTTGGAAAGCAATCGCTGTAGCAAGCGGAGCGCCTCTGAATTCCACAACTGTTTGATAATAAGAATCCCTGTGGAAATTTCGACGCCTTTGGATTCCACAGAAAACGGACATTTTATATACACGTTTGGAAAGAATCCCAATCGAAATGCGATCGCCTAATGACTCTGCATGCGTGCACCACAGTGCCTGCGTACACCACAGCGCCTGTGTACACCACAGCAGCCGCGTGGAACACAGCGTGGGTGTACACCACAGTGCCTGCGTGCACCACAGCGCTCGCGTACACCACAACGCCTGTGTACACCGCAGCAGCCGTGTGCACAGCAGCGCCGGTGTGCACCACGACGCTGGGCCCGCTCCCAGCATGAAGGGGGGGGCCAGGCCCCCCCTCCCCCACGGCACGATCGTTAGCGTTACCCCAATGGGGGGGAAGGTTGGCACGGGTTTCGAGCGCTTCGCCGGAGAGGAAAACAAAAACGCTCACGAGAGGACCTGCTCTCTCTGCTCCTGGCCAATGCCCTCTGGCAGGCGGCGGCCTGGACCGGGGTGGTGCCCGTGCGCTGTCCCGGCGGGTGGTCGCGCGGTGTGCTGAACTTCCTGCCTGTCCTCGCACTTGCTCGCCTGAAGAATCTGCCAGGGCGGTTCCCAGAAGGGGTTCGCGGGCCAGTGCTGATTTTACTTTGGCTGGCCAGGGCAACAGAAGTGCCACCGCGTTCTGCCGGCGGTGCGCGCAAGTCGGGCGCGTTCAAACTGTTACTTGTCATCTGCTTGTCCCCGCGAAGCAATGGGGAGGTTGAGAATGAGGCTGAAAGCACCACTTCCAGCCAGGAGCGTGGCCTGCGCTGAGACGAAAGCACAGCTCCGAGCTGCCAATGCGGCTGGCGCCAGGGCGAGAGCATCAATCCGAGCTCGGAATATGGGCGCCGCCAGAGCCAGATCAGCATTCTGGGACGGGAATGTGGCTGGCGATGGGGCGAGAACACGCGAGCGGCCTGCGCCAGTGGGAAAGCATCACTCCATGCGCCAATGGGAACACATCACTCCAATTTGAAAATGACACTGAATCGAAAACGAAACTCTGGAATATCTGAAGGGAATTCTGAAGCGCTACCGGCGAGACGGCAACAGTCTGGAGGAGCCAAGACGGGAGGCTGAAGGCACCCTCTAGGATCTGGAAGCTCAGGATCTCCGACCTCGATCAAATCCTTGACAGACAGAACACTCGTGTGGAAACAATTGAAACACCATCGTGACACGACCGTGGCACACTCAAGCACGATGCAAGCCGCAATCGCAATACCGTCGGGACATCGTCTGGACCTAGCGACAAGACACCACGGTACGATGGGACACTCCGCTACACCGCAGGCCGGAGTGAGCAGCAGAAACAACACCTAGAAATTCATCGACTCTCACGCGTAGCGGCGTAGCTTTACACGCACGACCCGAGACAGGAGCCCCTGATCTTTCCATGGGAACCGACTGAGCCAACCCAACAACCAATCTGCTGATTTGAAGCGCGTGCGATCAATCGGTAGACGTTGCGTCGCAAATTGGATTCGACGTCCAACCCGTGAAGCTGTTCCGCAGGCGGTCGTGTGCCAAAGGCATCTCAAATAGTCTAGAGTCCGAAAAATCTCGACCGTTGTCCGCCCCAACGAGAAGAACGAATGATAGAGCGTCGAGAACAGATACAGCATAGTCGCAGATGTGCTATATATTGCAATCGAGCACTTATAGTAGGAAGGTTTGTCCTTTACCTTCAGGAGCAGCATGACCATGCCAGCTATGCCCAAGCCCACGCCAATCCCATGCGTGCTCGCGTTTATTACCTCGTCAAATACTTCGTTACCGTCCAGGTCGACATCAATCGCCTTCTCCTCTGCAACCTCCAAAATGGCCTGGCATGTGACGAATTCTATGATATTATTTTGTAGGTCTACGGTCCGCAAGCTGGAGTTCCTCATAAGGTCGAGCATCACCTGCCCGCCCTCGTCGAAGAGTTGACAGGTGTGCATTCGCAGTGTCTGCATCGTCCTGGACACGCGGACTGCAGAGCCCACCGCACAAGCACCTTCGATACTGGAAGGAGAAGCAGCGCCGTAAACACAAACTTTCGGAGGTCCGTGCGCACTTCTCGGGTCGGCGCTGGACACCCCTCTCTGGCGTACCGAGCGTGCCGTGGGCGGTGCTGGGGGCGCCGCCAGGGGGGGCCAGCGCGGATCCAAGAAACCTGCGCGGGCCTCCGAAAGTTCATGACTATACAATTTTTCCTTCCTCGAGATACCCACCGACTGGAACGACAAATCCAACTCTTCTAACACGCAACTCGGGTGCAAGAACAACTGTGCAATGATCAACATGCCAGAGGCATCCAAGCGTGCCCGGGAAAAGTCCAACGAACGCATGCGGGACAAGTAAAGCCCGTCCTGGTCCAGCAAGAGCATTACCAAAGCACGGAGATCTAGATTCCCAAATGACGACCGTACCGATAGATTCTGCAAGCCGACGTTCAGCTGATTGAGAACGTCCGCCGACGGCTGAATGCCATACGCCTTGCACGATTCGAGGTAGCCCGCAATCCCCGGCTGGCCCTGGGCGAACGCGCGCTCGTCGGCACGCCTAGGAATGGGGCACCGCCTCTGGGGGCCCGTTCCGTAGTTGGTCCTGTACAGCAGGGGCAGCTGCCCAAGTACCAGAACGTGCTGCAACGCAACCCCGATGCACCATCGCGCCGCGCCCATCAACCGGGAGGCGGGATCCGCTGACCCCCGACTCGGATGCCCCTTTCCAGCCGTGAAGGGCCACGATCGGGGCAAGCCCCCTGGGCGTTTAGCGGGGCGCAACTGACCATCAGCGGGGGCGCAACTGGTCATGAGCAAGGTGCGGCGACTCGACCTGTCAGCAGGAACTGGGCATCCGAGGGCCGCGAAATAAAGGAGGAGGACCAATGTAAACCCAAGAGTCATCAACGATGTTGGAATAAACCCTCGCGCGTGCCAGCACGGCGAGGGGAGGGCGAGGAGGAAGGCGGCGAGGAGGAGGGCAAGGGCGAGGATGAGGGCGAGGAAGAGGATGATGATGATGATGATGAGGCTGATGCTGATGCTGATGATGATGATGATGATGATGAGAATGATGAGGAGGAGCAGGAGGAGGAGGAGGAGGAGGAGGAGGGCAAGAAGGAGAAGGGAAAAGATGAGGAGGAGGGGGGGGAGGAGGAGGGAGAGGAGGAGGAGGAGGAGGAGTAGGAGGAGGAGGATGGCAAGGAGGAGGAGGAGGAGGAGGAGGGCGAGGAGGAGGGCAAAGAAGAGGACGAAGAGGATGTGGAGGGCAAGGAGGTGGGGGAGGAGGGGGTGGGTGGGGGCAGCCTCCATTTCGCGTGGCGTCGTCACGCGCAGCGGTGGAGGGGCGTAGAGAGCCCTGCGCGCACACAGCGCGCCAGCCTCGGGGGCGGCTCGAGCCGAAGCGTCCGCGTCTGGTCTGTTTGTGCGCATGTCTGGGTGTGAGCGTGCGGTTGACATGATACCGATCGCCGGATTGTAATTTCACTCGCAAATCCCAATGATATAGTTGACCAGCCGGTGGTTCGCCTCTGCGGCGGAATACATACATATATATATGCATTCTCTCAATGCTTGTGTATCTTTGTTCTCTTCATCTACATGAATGCACGCATGAACGAGTGGAACGTACGTGCCCAAACTGTCAAAACAAAGAGCTGCAATCTATAACAAATATCGGAATGGGGATATGGTCCTTCCAACGGGCACACTTCCGGGACATCCTGGAGTGTCGCCGCCAGGCGCTCAGAGCGAGTGGGACATACTTGTGGCAAGCAGGGCGAACTAGCGATCCACAAACAGCGTGGTGCCCCAAGATCCCGAGCCTGCGAGAGATCCCGCCCAACACGCCCCCCGGGGGAGCACCCCGAGAGGCTTCTGAGAGCCCCCCCCCACTGGGCGTCGCTTATAGGGGTAAAGGGCTCCTTTTCTGCAGCCCTCGCTGCCCCCCTTTTTCTTTTATCGCACCCCCATTCATTCGCGCCGGACCCGAGATGCCAACGAGGCCTCCAGGAGACCCCCGAGCTACATCCCAAAAGGGGCCCCGAGAGGCATCCCAAACAGGCTTCTGTCTCACACGCATGGTGATGGCGGGGCGGGCTGAGCACGCGGCAGATGCAGAACCCGCGCCCCAGTCGCAAGACTCTCACCATCGGGAACCCTCTCCTCCTCCTCCTCCTCCTCCTCCTCTTCCTCCTTTCCTCCTCCTCCTCCTCCTCCCTCCTCTCCTCCTCCTCCTCCTCTCCTCCCTCCCTCTCCCTCCTCCCTCCTCCCTCCTCCTCCTCCCTCCTCCCTCCTCCTCCCTCTCCTCCCTCCTCCCTCCTCCCTCCTCCTCCTCCCTCCTCCCTCCTCTCCTCCTCCTCCCCTCCCTCCCTCCTCCTCCTCCCTCCTCCTCCTCCCTCCTCCTCCCTCCACCTCCCTCCTCCTCCTCTCTCCTCCTCCTCCTCCTCCATCCTCCCCTCCTCCCCTCCTCCTCCTCCTCCTCCTCCTCCTCCTCCTCCTGTTGCCAAACGGCCCATCGGCGCGAGGCGTGCCTTGCGACCACGCTGGGAGGACGGCACTTCACGCTGGAGCGCGGGTTTGATTTGGGAACGGCCAGACCGGCAAGACGGGGAATTACGAGGGAGGATGAGGAAGTGGCTGGGCCAAGAAGGTGAAGCAGAAGACGACGGATATAGAACACACTATGAACACGAGCCGAGGTGTGAAACGGAACGAACAGGAGCGAGGCAAGGAGGGAGGACGTGAGTGCAGAGGAGGAGCAATGAGGAACGGATGCGTAGTAGCGACCCCAGTGGCGCTCCGCACGTACCTCCGACAGTGTACGCTTGTGCCACTTGTCGGACGAGGGGTGGTGGCTAGTAAAGGGCGGGGGGGTTAGCGAATTAACTCACGCGGCTGATTTTCCTGGCGCCTTCCAACGCCAATGTAATTATGGAAGAGTGCGAACGGCGGCAGAGCCAAAACCAGCCGCGTGCAGCAAATCTCGTGATTCCCCTTTCCCCTATCCTCCCCATTTCGTCCGACCTGGTCTTCTTCGAACCTTGACCCTCGAAGCTCGAGGCCAGAGTAGAGGAACAAGACAATGGCATAAAGACGCACTTGCGGCGCCCGAGACACCGCCAGGGGGTTCTGGCGCCGATCCGAGCACTCCGCGTGGAGCTCCGAAAATTTTGACGTCAACTGCCAGGAACTTTCGGCTGCACGCAAGAAGTGACCGTGGGCAGGAGTGACCTTGGGTGCGCGGCTCTGTGGGGGCCGCGGGGGGACCACACACGAGCGCGCAAGTCGCTGCTGCCGCAAGGCGTTCGGCGATCGGGGGGGTCGCCGTGGGCCTGGCACCCAGAGGTCACTCCGGCACAGGGTCGCTCCTGCGCGTGGTCGAGACTGTTGCGCGGCGTGTCGCGGCGGCGGCCCCGGCGGCACGCCGTGTGCCCTGCGAGCGGGCGGCGTGCCGCTCCGCGCCTCGGGCGAGCGTTAGGTCGGGCATGTCCTCCTACAGGCGGACTCTGGGCGACAAGTCGAACAGAGTCAAGCCATACTCAGACATAACCGAAAAATGCGCAAAAAAAATCGTCCTCACATTATTTTTGGACTATCTTTGTATGTTCCCCCTGTACAGGGACATGCCCGACTCAAGGCGAGCCCGGCGCGTGGACGCCCGCGGGCCGGGGCGTCGTCGGGCAGGGCGCCGCGTCGAAGCGCGAAAGGGCCAGAGCCGGCCGCGCGGCGCGCCGAGCCGGAACGCCTGACCGCACATGCTCGCGCGGCCTCTGTTCGGCGGCCGGCCCGCCGCGAGGTCCGACGCCCCGAGCCAAGCAAACATGGGAGCGTTGAGGCGGGCCTGGCCCTCCGCAGGGGGAAAATTCAAAAATAGTCAAACAAAAATATGGGGACGCTTTTGGTTCGAGTATTTTTTTGAACTCTTTCCCAGCCGTCCTGTGGTGTTGGGCCCTCGTTTTGAAGAGACGGTGCCCCGCGTTCCTCCTCTCCTCCTCCCCACTCTGCCCATCACCATCATCATCATCATCATCATCATCGTCGTCATCGTCATCATCATCATCATCGTCATCCGCATCAGCATCAGCAGCATCATAATCATCATTATCATCATCACCATCATCGATTTCGCCACCGCCCCATTTTGGCACACCCATCACACGTTTCGTGGCCCCATGGGGAGCTCCACCTAAGGTCCCAGTGGCGGAACGCGCATGGCGGCCTCGGGCCATTTCGGCACACCCATTACGTGTTTCGTGGCCCCCTAAGGAATTCCACCTCAGGTCCCATTGGCGGAACTCGCATGGCGGCCTTGGGCCATTTCGGCGCACCCCTCGCGAGGATCGTGACCCCATACGGAGCTCCGCCGAAGGCCCCAGTAGCGGAACTCGCATGGCGGCCTCGGGCGATTTCGGCACACCCATCGTTTCGTGGCCCCGTAGGGACCTCCGCCGAAGGTCCCAATGGCGGAACTCGCATGGCGGCCTCGGGCCATTTCGGCGCACCCCTCACGCGTTTCGTGGTTCCATAGGGAACTCCACCTAAGGTCCCAGTGGCGGAACTCGCACAGCGGCCCCGGGCTATTTCGGCGCACCCCTCGCGAGGATCGTGGCCCCGTAAGGAACTCCACCGAAGGCCCCAGTGGCAGGGTTCGCATGGCGGCCTCGGGCGATTTCGGCACACACCTCGCGAGGATCGCGGCCGACCGAAGGCGCCAGCGGCAGGGTTCGCATGGCGGCCTCGGGCAATTTCGGCACACCCCATCACGAGGATCGTGGCCCCATAGGGAGCTCCACCGAAGGCCCCAGCGGCAGGGATCGCATAGCGGCCTCGGGCCGTTTCGGCACACCCCTCATGAGGATCGTGGCCCCATAGGAGCTCCACCGAAGGCGCCAATGGCAGCTTCTCTCATGGCTCTCAGAGCCCTCTCCTGCTTCTGCTCCTCGGTCAGGGGGGCGCCGTCCTCGTTGTCGTCGGCGCCCGCGAAGACGGCCGCGAACGTGTCCCTGAGCATGTCGGGCTCCGGCGGGAAGCCGTGGCCACATGGGGTGCATGGGCGAAGATGGTATTCACATTTGCGGTATTCACAACTGCATATGGTTGGGTCTTTCGCCAAGCTAATTTTGAATATTTTTGGGATATTTGTAATTTCATTTTTCGTCAAGGTCCGCCTGCAGGGGGATATGCCCGACCCACTGCGGGCGGCAGGATGTGGGCTGTGTTCGGCCTCTGGGGGGGCCCTCGCCGGGCCTCGGGGCTGTCAACACAATGCCTCGGGGCGAACAGCGGGCCCTACAAGGAAGCGGTCCACACCTCGAGAGCGGCCAGGAGGTCTGGGCGGGGGGGAAATGAAAAAGGGGCGGGTCGTCTCGGAAGGCTTGGAAATCCCCCGGTGGCCTCCCGAGAAGTTTTCGGAGCCTTCCCCGAAGGCGCAGGTCGGGCATGTTCATCTACACGCGGATTTTTGACGAAGAACAAAACATACACCAAACGTGCCCAAACACAATCAAACATCATTATATATATACACATGTGTAAACGTCCCCAAACGATTTTCTCATTTTTTTTTTTTTTTTTTTTTTTTTTTTTTTTTTTTTTTTTTTCCTCCTGTAGAGGGACGTGCCAGATTTAACCGAATGCGCAGGAAACCTCTCAGAAGGCCAAAAAGCCTAAAACGAAACAAAGGCCCAAATCAAACTGAACAGCGTTGTGGTCGGTCGGTCCTTGCTTCCTTCCGTATCCCCTGGTGGCTTTCGGGCCCCAATTCGGCTCTCTGGCGGCCGTTCGGGACGATGCGGGCCCCCCCGAACGCTCCCGACGAGGCGTAGCTGCTGGAACGCATCCCGAAGCTGGAAAACCACCGACGACAGCCGACGATCACGTCCGAAAACCTGGAGCCTCGAACGCCGACTAAAACTCCCCGACGGTAGAGGACAGCGTCGGGCAAGATGCTTCCTTTGAAAGAGATTCGCCCCCTCCCCCCCGCTCGTCGTGGTTGTGGTGGTGGTGATGCTGATGCTGATGCTGATGGTGATGATGATGATGATGATGATGATGCTGCTGCTGCTGCTGCTGCTGATGATGATGATGATGATGATGATGATGGCGATGATGACGGGGATGTTGTTGATGGTGGTGAGGATGGCGACGCTGACGGTGACGCTGCTGGTGACAGTGCTGTCAGCATTGATGGCAGCAGTGAACCGCCTTTGCGCGGTGTCAGCGTTCAACCGAACAGTTCTGTGGCGGCCCATCCGCAAATCAAAACGCTGGGGCGCGCACAGATCGATCATCTCGTCGGGCCCCAGCGGCGACGATGACGACGAACCCCCCCCTGGCGCCTGCGGCGGCCCCGCCGAGCCGAGCCCTTCTGCGAGCGGCCCGGCCGAGCCGAGCTCTGCGCGCCCATCGGCGCGCGGCGGGCGCGCCGCGGGGGACCAAAAGGCGCGCCCCAGCACTGGACGAGCGCGCCCCGCTGCTCGCAGAGTAACTGCTCGCAAACGGGCCCGGATCCGCCGCGGGGGATTCACGATCCGTTCCGCAGAGGCAGACCTTCTTTCTCGGACGTTTGCGGCTACTCCAGATCTCGTAATAAGAGGGAGGGGGTCTGGACCCTCCCAGACAAGCCCTTTCAGACCCCCCCCCGTGGGAGAACCCTCCAAAACGTCGCCCCCAGACCCCCCCCGGCCCTCCAAGATAGCCTGGAAGAGACCCCCCCCGAAGTGAGACCCCCCTCCCTCTAGTACGAAATCTGGAGCAGGCACCGTGCGAGCAGTGGAGCGCGCTCGGTGAAGCACGGCGGCGCCTCCCGCCGCCTCTTCCCGGGCGCCCCGCGGCGGACGCTCCCGCGGAGGCCGCAGGTGGCGCTCCCTGCGCGGACGCCGGCCGCGCGAGGGGTGCGCCGTGCTGAGACCCCCTGGGGTCAGAAGCGAAACTCACGACGGGAAGCGTTTCGCCACCTTCGGCCTCCGGGGGCTCCTGCCGGGCGTCGGGGGCGGTGAGTTGGCGGCGCGCGCAAGGGGGGCAGGGAGAGGGGGGAAGGCTTCTCAGAGGGAGGCTGCTGTTTAGGAGGCGCCGACCCTGCATCTTCAGTCAAGGCCCGCGCCTTCTGAAAAGTAGTGGTGCTTCCAAAAAGCCTTGCCCCCTCTCCCTGCCCCTCTCCCGAGGGGGCCCATGCGCCCCAGCACGGCGTCTTCCGGCTCTTCCTGGGCGCCCCGCAGCGGTGCGGTGACATACCCCCTCAGGCCATGCACAAATCACGACCTTAAGTGCCCTGATACGCAACACGCAACACGTAGCGTATTGATACGGAGCTCAGCACGTAGAAACACGTAGGTATGACGCGATACGTTCGCCCCAACGCGGGCCAATAAGATGAGGCAGCACGCAACGTATTGGCATGGACGTTTTAGGCACGGTATGCGCTGCATTTCAGAACGGGCGTATCGAGGCAACTAATAAGGAATCCTCTCGCTATTTTCGGCCTCCAAGGGCCCCTGCTGGGCCACGGTGCCGTCCAAGGGCGGCTCGGTACGAAGAGCCGGTCATGGGGAACGGGTCGAGACCTTTGGTGGCCGACGTCATGGAGAAGCCATGACGTCGTGGGTCTGGGGCCCCATCCTTCCAGAAACGGGGACATGACCGTGCACGCAGGAATCCATGTCTCCAGAAGGCGAGCCCGTCTCCCCGGCCGGCGACCGCCAGGTGCACCCATGCCCCCAGGCCAGGTGTCGACGAGCGCGTTCCACTACTCGCAAAATAACTACTCGCAAATCGCCTGGATACGCCGCGGGGGATCTACGATACACTACACCAAAGCGGACATATATTTTTGGACGTTTGCGAGTAGGCACTTTGCGAGTAAAGGAACGCGCCCTGTGAAGGTGGCCCCCTTTAGAGGCCTCCTAGATGGGGTCGGAATAGATGGGGTCGGAGGCTCGCGCCGCAACGCCGATACATCGGCGATGCATCGGCGATGCATCGGTGATGCACCGGCGAAGCATCGTCGACGTCGGCGATGCATCGGCAACGTCGACGCGGAGCAAATCGGGCTGCACATCGAGCCGCATCCGCGATGCATCGGCGATGCGGCGCGATCCTCCGACCCCATCTACTCCGACCCCATCTAGGAGGCCTAGACTATCCCACGTCCACCTTAGCGTCTTGGCGTCCACCTTACAGTCCACCCGCATAGTAAGGATGGGCAACGCTCCCAAGGGTACCCTTGCGTCCTTTGCCTCCTCGGTCCATCCTGGGCCACTTTCGTTGGGCGCGCCCCTCTCGAAAAGCTTCGGAATGGGCCTCCAAGGCCCTTTGCACCCTCATCGCGCACCTCGTACACACCGTGTAGTGCCGGGTGGAGCCCGTGGCCGCCGCGTGGCAGGCCGCGCGGTGCCTCCCCGAGGCGAGGCCGCGCGCGGTCGCGACGCGCCGAGGGCCGAGAGCGGAGCGCAGGGGGGGGGGGGGGTTCGCCTCGTGCCTTGCGCACGGTGGCGAGGAGGAGGAGGAGGAGGAGGAGGAGGAGGAGGAGGAGGAGGAGGAGGAGGAGGAGGAGGAGAGGAGGAGGGGAGAAGGAGGAGGAGGAGGAGGAGGAGGAGGAGGAGGAGGAGGAAGGAGGAGGGAAGGAGGAAGGAGAAGGAGGAGGAGGGAAGGAGGAAGGAGGAGAAGGAGGAAGGAGGAAGGGAGGAGGAGGAGGAAGGAGGAGGAGGAGGAGGAGAGGAGGAGGAGGAGGAGGAGGAGGAGGAGGAGGTGGGGGGGTGGGGGGGCGGGTGCAGGGCGGCGAGCTCGCCACCTCCAGGCCTGGCCACTCCTGGGCCCAGGAGCGGCGCGCACGCCTCCCCCCCGGTCATGCCAGGAGGGCGTGTGCGTGCCGCTGCTGGGCCCAGGCCTGGGACACTGGCGCCGTGCATAGGTCTCGCAGCCCGCTGCCACGACGCGCGTCGTGGCAGCGGGCGGGGAGATCTTCAGCCCAGCCCGTTTTTCGACGGCGGAGGGCCCCGGGGGCGAAAAAACCTGGGAGGAGGAGGAGGAGGAGGAGGAGGAGGAGGAGGAGGAGGAGGACGAGGAGGAAGAGGAGGACCTGGATCCTCTCCCCCTTCAGGACCCTCTGCCCTCAGGACAAGATCTTGGGCGTCTGATGGCGGGCACGCTGGCGCGCCCCCCCCCCCCACGCGCGGGCGGCGCCTCGCCCGGGTGGGTGGGTGGGTGGGCTTGGGGTGGGTGCGGCCGCCGCGCGGCTGGTCGGGCTGAGCTCCGCGGCTGCTGCGCCCTCGCCTCGGCTCCCCCTTCCCTTTCCTCCCTCCTCCCTCCTTGTCCTTCGTCTCCTCCTCATCCTCCTCCTCCTCTTCCTTCCCCCCTCCTCCCAACCCCTCCTCCTACTCCTCCTTCTCCTCCTCCTCCTCCTCCTCCTCCTCCTCCTCCTCCTCTTCCTCCTCCTCCTCCTCCAGCTCCTAGAGCTCCCCTTCCTCCCCCTTCTCCTTCCCTTTCAAAATTTCTGGCCGTTAATGAACCTACGGGGGCCCTCACCGGGCCTCGAAGAGGTGTGGGGGGGTCGGAAAACCGGGTGCTGGCTAAGGCCGGCGCTCAGAGGCGACCGGTCTTCGCACGCTCGAGCCGAGCGCTGATCCCAACACCATGGCGGCGTGCAGATGAACTCCTGTCGGATCTCCGCGCGAATTGCTTGGATCTCAGGGCGGCGCCCGAGGCGCTGCCAGGGGGCCCAGCGCCGATCCAAGAAATCCGCGCGGAGCTCAGAGAGATGATGCGTATGCAAGTGTCTGTTCCTCTAGAAGATCGCTTCGGACTGGCGTCTTGGGCGTTCTCGTTGGTTCCTGGAGCAGGCCCTCCAATTCCGCGCCGAGCTCTGACAGTCTAGGTTTCTGTAGTTTTTCCCTTTCGAAGGCAAGCATATCAGTCGGATGATGGAAACAAGCCAGTACAGGGCCCCGGGGCCGTCAACAAAAACAGCTCAGGATGAAAAGCTGATCCTGGGAAAGGTGCCGATACCTTTGGGGGTCCATGCTGTGAGAAAGTGAAGACGTCGTGGTTCAGGCCTATTTCTCTCAAGGGGGGAGTAGAGAGGAAGGGGCAGGCAGGCAAGACAAGAGCAGGTGCGAGCCAGAACTCAGCAGTCACAGGAAGAGACAACTATGGCTCCCTGTTGCACAGTAAGGGGAATTTATGAAAAGGATGAGCATGAGGTGGGAGGAGGACGACGAGGAGGAGGATGATGATGAGGAGGGGGAGGAGGACGCGGAGGATGCAGATACCTCTCTCCATCCACTTCAATGTCCCTCTCGCTCTTGCTTTCAGCGCTCTCTCTCTCTCTCTCTCTATCTGGTGTATATTTGTCTCTTTCTGTCTGTCTGCCTCTGCCTGTTAGTCTGTCTGTCTGTCTGTCTCTGCCTGTATCCCTCCCTCCCTCTCTCTCTCTCTACCTCTGCGTTTCTCTGTCTCCGTCTGCCTGACCCGCGAAGCGCGACGACCCGCGTACCCCTGCGGTGAGATCCGAGCAGGCCGGCGCCCTCGGGGAAGCCCCGCACCCCTAGGGGGCAGGTCCGTGCCGTGACGACCCCGGCGTTGGTTTCTGACGCCCCGTGGATCGTTCAACCTTCCATGATGGGCGGCCTCTCGATCGCCAGATGGCTCCATTACAGGCCGAAGCTGGGCCACGGGCAGCGTTCGCTCTTGAACGCCCGCGCTGGGGTCGCGGCCGCGCACGACATGAGCCTACCGTATCCGCGTCCGCAGGCGCTGCACGCTCTTCTGGTCGGCTTAACATTTGGTGTACGTTGAACGCTTGAACCGAGCGCGGGCAGAACCATGTCTTCCCATACGCACCAGGTGCAATACCATTTCATGCTGCATACAGCCAGCCATAGCAACAACGATGCAAAGTGAGGGTGCGGAACACGTGGACGTTCAAATTGAAAGAATTGCAGCGGCGTCTGGCCAACACAAACAGGGGGCACAATCGGACAGCAGTGGGCCAGACAGGCAGGGATGCAGGGGCAGCTTTGAAGAACAGCTGCATCCTAATTTCTGCTCTTCGCTGTAGCATGGGCGCATGTTGAACTCTCGTGCCGAGCGCGGCCGCAGCATGGTCTCAGAGTCCACGCCAGATGCAATATCATGTCAAGCTGGCCGTCGTGCCATCGCTGCGTACCGTTTGTCGCCGCGCGCATCACAGGGGCGGTGGGCGGCTGGGAGACGGACCTTGACGGAGAACTCCACGGCGGTGTCGAAGGGGTTCCTGAACTCCACGGTTCCTGCAGCTTGCGTCTTGCCAGAGGTATAGGGTGTAGAGAGGAGGGGGAAGACCTGCATACGCCCAGACGTTGAGCAACCGTTCCACAACCTTTCACGCGCTGTCGAAGCATAACTTGACAGACTTTAGAAGCACATTCAACGATGTGTGTATCATTTTTGAGGCGCATGATTCAAGCGTGTGTCTGGCCACCGCCACCATGGCATGCCCTAGATGGTCAACCAACTGCAGAGATGGCGCCGTCCTTGGGATTGGCTGCAACTGCCCGGTTGCGATTCAGATCTGAGGCTGAGATATATACATCTATCAGCCACCGTGCCGCTAGGCACTGGGTGGAATGTACTCAGGCTATTTCAGGCTCCCTGTATAGAACACCCATAACTTTCTTCGAGGGGCCCAGTCCCAATTGCCCCTGTCTGACTTTTGAGTCCAGCCGCGTGACCTTTACAAGAGGCCAGAGGGCAACAAGTCGATCACAGAGGGTCTCAAGACGGCCCATGAGGGTCAGAGACGCCCCGAGACGTCCCCCCAACGCCCCGAGACGACACACGAGACCCCCGAGACGCCCCAAGAGGGTTGCAAGATGACCCCCAAGAGGGCCCCAAGAAGCCCAAAACGCTGACTTCAATATATATATATATATATATATATATATTACATGTACGCATGTATGTATGCATGTCTGTCTGTCTGTCTGTATGTGTATGTACGTATATATATATATATACGTATGTGTGTATGCATGTCTGCACGTATGTATGTAAGTATGCATGCATGTATGTATGCATGTCTACACCTATCTGCGTGTGTGTGTGTGTGTGCATGAAGTGTTTTGGCGTTCTCGCCTTTCCGGGCGACTACCGCTTCAAGACGGCCCAAGAGGCTCCCAAGCTCGCCCCAACACGGTCCAAGAGGCCACCGATAGGGTCCCGAAGCGGCTCCGCAAGGACCCATTACATCTTGGAGGTCCTCAAGACTGCCCAAGAGGCCTCTAACAGGGCCCTAAGAGAGGGAATTCGAACTGGCCCTGGGAGCATTTCACCCCCTCCAGATTTCCTCCCAAGAGCCCAACATGCTCCCCGAGACCCCCAGAAGCGCCTAAGAGGCCCCCAAGAGGCCCCTGAGGGGCATCCCAGTGAACCCAACATGCATCCAAGAGACCTCCGTCCCACAGCCCAAACATGGTGACTGGATGGACTGAGAACCTCTCTCTCCCCCTCTTCCTCTCTCTGTCTCTCTCTCTCTAAGCTGTTTGTGGCTTTGAATACGTTGATCAGTTGTTACCTTCTTCTTCGTTGTTGTCTCTCACAATATTCTTTGTTGTTATCTTCTTATGTGTTATATTCTTCTTAGTTGATCAGTCGTTATCTTCTGCTCTCTGTACGGATCTGTCCTACACAATGACAAGGGGGCCACGCTGAGCTGTCCGAGCTTCTTCGCAGGCGCTCCACGCCTGGCCTCCCTCTCACATTCTCCGTCTACTATGCTCACTCTTGTCTGCCCTCCCAACCTGCTCTGCATTCGATTCTCTAAAATCTGATATCTATCTTATCTCTAATGGCAGTAGATCGGGGGCCACATGCGAACCCTACCCCTACCCCCCACGATTTCTGAGGGGGAGGGGGGGGGTCACCTCCTGCTCTGCATTCAATTCCCTAAAATCTGATATCTATCTCATCTATACTGTAAGTGCAGTGGAATGCAGTCAAGCCTGCCCTGTACTCGCTGGTATGTGCTCTCGCCTGCATGATGTATTCCCTCGTTTGAACATGTCTAGAAGACTTTTCAGAAGGCCGGGGAACTTCCGAACCTTTCGAGAAAACCTCCTCCCTCTCACTTCCGCCCCTCGCTCGCCGCCGACAAACTCGTGTCAACCAAACGAGATCGGTTGACCAAAACGGGGCTAGGATGAAGATTAATCCGTTCCGAAGCGTTCCGGAACGCTCTCAGAATGTTCCGGAACGCTCTGGGAAAACCCTGGCGCCCGAGACATCCTCCAGAGCCGCCAGGTCTCACAGATTCTCGATTTGTCCTCACCCGATTTCATCCTCATCCTGGCTTCGTCTTGTCGACCCCGGTTAGCTGCGCCCCGATCGCAGTTGGGCCGCTGGCGCGGGAGGGGCAGGAGAGCCCAGAATCGAATCGGCAAGTCGGATCGGCAATCGCAATGAGTCGGAGCGGCGAAAATCGGCAGTCGGGTCGGGAAAAATCGTCTCGGCGCAAATCGGCAGGCGGGTGTGCCTCCAGTGAGAGATCGGAGCCCAGATCGGAAGCCCGAGCGGAAGGTCGCATCGGACTCGGAAGCCACCGGCGTCGGATCGGAGGAAGCGAAACGAGCCCTGGGGAGGGGCCGCGCCTTGCTTGCCGTTGAGGATGGCGATGGGGCCCTGGGGCTGCGGCGGCTGCGTGAAGCCTCGCGAGGGGGCACGCCGTCGTCGTCGCCGGCGGGGGGGCGGCCGTCGCGAGGTCGGGCGGCGGGGCCGTTGTCGGGAGGGCCGTCGCGACGTCGAGCGGCGGGAGAGCGCGCGCTCTGCGTCGGGCAGCGGGCGGGTGACGCGAGGAGCGTGGCTGGTGATGATGATGGTGATGGTGATGATGCTGATGATGGTGATGATGATGATGATGGTGATGGTGATGGTGATGGTGATGATGATGATGATGATGATGATGATGAGAATGACGATGAAAATGAACATGACGATGATGGTGATGATGATAATGATGAGGGTGATGCTGCTGATGTAGATGAAGATGAATTTGAAGGTGATGATGAACATGATGATGATGCTGATGATGATGCTGATGATGATGATGATGATGATGATGATGATGATCAGGATGATGATGATGATGATGATGATGGTGGTGGTGATGATGATGATGCGGCTGCTGCTGCTGATGATGATGATTCTGATGATGAGGGGGAAGAGAAGGAGGGAAGACAGAATACGTTGTCGTTTTTTGATCGTATACGCAACCGATTCTGGACACCTTGGATCAACCCATCTTGACGTCTCTCCTGTACCTCCGCCGCTTTCCGCCGGCGGACCCATCGCGACTTGGCTTCCGTTAACTCTTCCGCCGGCCTTCCGCCCCCATCTGCCGAAGGCGAGCACACGCCAGAGACGAGGCCTTTTGTCGGAACGCGCCCACCACCAACGACAGATCTTGCAACGCGGGGCCGCGGGTACGGCATGTTCGTGTCGTGACGGCCCCTGACACCGTGTGTCGGGGTCGGCCAAGAGGGGGGCGTCCAAGAGGAAGGGGGCGCAAATCATGGCCAGCGGCATGTGCGCGGCCCAGCGGTGGGCCAGGGAACGTATTGAAATAAGAGGAGGGGCCATGAAATCTGGGGAGATATTATGGCCCCCACCATGATATCCCCCCTTCCTAGTGCTCACCCCCTCTTGGCCGCCCCCGAATGTGGATCGTCCAATCTCGAACGATCGGCGACTTTTTCATCGCCGGATTGTTCTATCTTGGCTGGTTTTAGGCCACTGGCGGTGCTCCAACTTGCTCGCCTATATGACGGGGTCGCAGCCACGTCGACACGTCACGAACCTGACGCGCCTCCCCGGCGATTCGGATGACGAGGGATAGGGCTGGACCTAAACGTTGTTTTTCGTTTTGCTTCGTTTTGCTCTACCTGTTTTCCTGTACCTCCCTGCCAAAACGAAAAACAAAGCACAGCCGAAGTCCAGCAAAACAGCGTCTAGGTCCAGCCCTGACGAGGAATACAGCCAAACGGCGCAGGAACCCGAGGAGCACGAAGGCGTCGCACTCACCAGATATCTGCGGTCCTGGGGACAACGATACGATAAGTCCAAGAGAATGCGCTCCCTAGGGCCAGAAGGCGCGAGACTTCCAGGGTTATGCGATCCTGCGGGAACCAGACGCGATACTCCCAAGACCGTGTGGTACTGGCGCCAGAAGACGCGATACTAGCACGAACATGAGCGCGCGAGGCCGCCGACCACGCTCAAGAAAAACGCGAATGAACGCCATAACCCATTTGATCCGCACATGCTGCAGGCCTTCTGCCAAGGGCTCCACGTACTCTTTGAACAAAGGAATGCGACTGTCCAGTCACATTCCATGCGCCCATGCCTGGCAGCAAACTTCACGCGTCTTTGATATCCAACCACGCGTGCAAGAGGTGGTCGCGAAGGTGATCACCGCACTGTACAAGCCGTGACAAGCCCGAACAGTCTACATACTCGCGATGCCTGTCTTTTGCTTTCGCCTTCTTGGGCCCTCTGGGCGAGGGGGCCCTCGTCGCCACGGCTGCGTTCGCCTCGGCGCCCTGGTCAGAAGGCTCTCAAGGGGGAGGCACTACCGCTGCTACTCGTACAGCTTCGGAGAGCCACGGCAAGTGCGACAGGTACTTCAGCTACTGCTCGCATTGCACACGAGTGGAACTACCGACTAGTACAACACCATCTGCTGACCCCACTCGTGCTACGACCAATGCAGCAAGTACATGCCAGTTCTCATCTCTTCAATCGCAAATGCGAGCGACAAAACAAAGCTGCCCCACAGTGCTGTCACCACTACCACTACCACTACGACTGCCACTGCAACAACCATTCCCACTACCACTACACGACTATGACTACCACGCCCACTACCACTACGACGGCGACCACAAGAGGACCTGCTACCTACTACTTCTATGTGTAATGATTCTCCTTCTTCCCCTACTACTGCAACAACAACTGCTACTACTACTTGTACTGATACTAGCACTAGTACTAGTGCTAGACCTAGTGCTAGTACTACTTCTACTACTCGACTACGCCTACGACTTCGACTACGACGACTATGACTACGACTACTACTTTTACTACTACCACCACTACTACCACCACTACTACCACTACCACTACCACAACCACTACCACTACTACTACTACTACTACTACTACTACTACTGCTACTACTACTACTACCACTACTACTACGACTACTACTACTACTGCTACTACTACTACTACTGCTACTTCTACTACTACTACTGCTGCCAATAGTATTTGTGCAACAACAACAACAACTACTTCTACTACTTGTGCCACTACTACTACTACTACTACTACTATTATTTTTATTACTACTACTACTACTACTACCACTACTACTACTACTACTACTACTACTACTACTACTACTACTACTACTACTATTACTACTACTACTACGATTTCGACTACGACTACGACTACGCCTACGACTTCGACGACTACTACTACCACTACCACCACTACTGCAACTGCTACTACTACTACTTCTACTACTACTTCCACTTTTACTTTTACTTCTGTTTCCTTGAGCTGCAGCGTGGTTTTTTCTCCGCACAAGAGCGATCGTGACAATTAGCTCGGTAACAGCTACTACCAAAGGCCAGCGCCACGACCACACAAGACTGTCACATTCGCCCCGCGCCACCACCACGCATTGTGTGCTACCTTCGGAAACGCTGGAAAACTTCGAAAATGGCCCCTGGGCAGCGCCCTGTCATCGCCCTGACCAGCGTCCCGAGCCGAGCCCGACAGTGGCAGCGGGGAGATCCCCCGAGGCCCCGATTCTGAAAGCGGCGAGCACCAATCACGCAGATATGGAAGAAGAGGCCATCAGCAGAAACATCAACTTTCGGACGTTCGCATGGACTTCTTGGATCGGCGATGGGCCCCCCCTCCCTGGCGCGTGGAGCGAGCCAGGAGAGGCTCTGGAGGCCAACGCGGAACCAAGATACCCGCGCGGACTTCCAATAGTTTCTGTTCCTGCACTCTTTCTCGTATCCGATGGGAAGCAGATCCTCCCGGTGCCTCCTGGCGGCAGGGCGCGCCTGTGAGCAGCGCCTTGTACTCCCCGCCCCCGGGGCCGGACACGGTGAGGAGTGCGTTCCGCTCGCCGAGCGACGAGGGCGTGAATCGCACGGCCTCAGCGTGAGGCCAGGGGTGCGGTGGGCCCGAGCGGCCGGAGGAGGAGGAGGAGGAGGAGGAGGAGGAGGAGGAGGAGGAGGAGGAGGAGGAGGAGAAGGCGAATGAAGAGCAGTACGAGCGGGAGAGAGGTACGACGAAGGCATTCTGAATCTGAGTTCGGACAAGGACAGATCGAGAATCGCTGAGAGCTGGCGGGTCCGGAGGATGTTCGGGAGTTGCCGGAAGTGCCCCCGGCCCAAGGTGTCCACAGGACTTCCAGGGAGGCCTCCCACAGCCTCCAGAGCAGTCCTCACGAGGCCCAGAGGGCCTCGAGGGCTCCAAAGCGGAGAGAAAAGCCGGGGACACCTCTCGCACTCCCTGAGCTGTGTCGGGCGCCGCGGCCGCTCTGGGAGCACTGTGAAACGCCCCAGACATTCCCCGTCAGCGCTTTTCACAACGTGGCTCCTTCGAAATTTGGGCACCCTCCCTGGGACCGGCTTTTGACGACGGCATCGGAGCGACGAACAAAACTTCACAGAGTGTGATGTGAAACTGATGGGTATCCCAACGCATTAAACATGTTATGCAGTTATGTGCTCGCCGCCGCAGTGCAGGGACTGCCTCTTGCCTTTCGGCCGAACGCTGCGCACGGTGCTGCTCACATGAGCAGGCAGTCAAGCGTGAACGCGTGGGAGCTGACCCCCCCCCTTCCCTTCCCGCTGATGCCCGGATTTTCATCCTGCAATGTTTTTTGACGCTCCCGGGGCCCGGGGCCCAATGAGGGCCCAATGAGGACCCCAGGAGGCCGACACCGACGACCAGCCCTGCGCCGTGAGTTTTCGTAGCGGGAAGATCTCGGGGGACGTGTCGGGTGCCGCAGCGGACCCGCAGCGCTCGGGGACACCCTGGAGCGATCCATCCTCATTCTACGCCTGCTCGAGGCAAGAGAGCCCAAAATCGAATCGATAAGTCGGATCGGCAATCGAAATGCATCGGATCGGAGGAAATCGGCAGCCGAGTCGGGAGGAGTCGAATCGGCGGAAATCGGCAGGCTAGTAGGCCTTCATGGAGAAATCGGAGGAGGAGGAGAAGGAGAAGGAGGAGGAGGAGGAGGAGGAGGAGGAGGAGGAGGAGGAGGATATCCATCCTCCCTATTCGACGTGTGGCCGTTTTCAGGCCATAAATCGGGCCTCGGGCAGCCGCTCCCCAGCTCTTCCGATTCGGACCCAATCGGGTCCGAGTGAGACTCGTCGACTTTTTTGTTTCCTGCAGGGTCGCCGGATGAGACCGGTTCGGAAGAGCGAACGCGTGCAGAAAGACATGGGGACCTGAGAAATTGTGGCTGAATGAGGCCAGAGTTCGCCGAATGGGCCTGGTTGCTGCACAGGGCTGGAGATTTCACCGAGTGCATTTTCTCCAAGTCAGTCTCATTCAACGCGCCGAGTGGGACAAAGAACCAAATGACTGGGACTGGATCCAATAGATTGGCACCATGTCCAATCGAATGTGACCGAATCTGGCCAAATGAACCAACTGTGACCCTCCCAGAAGCTCCGCTGAATCAGACCGGAAGCGGTCCAAGAGTTCCCAACAAAGAGATCAAGACACATCTTTTCAACTTTTGTGTTTTTCATGTGTTTGTCTGTTGTCGCCTCGAGCTCCAAGGTGCAGCAGACAACCCCGAGACTTGGAGGGCAGATCCGGGCAGCCATAGTTGAACGCCACAGAGCACACCCCAGGGCAGCCAGTGGCCCAACAACAACTTTATATATCAATGATTGTTGCATCCCTGCAGAACTAAGAAACGAGGCTTCGGCGTTACCCTGCTCGTGGGACATTGAGCGCAGCATGCGGGATCAGCTCGATGCTGTTGCATCTCGTGGCCGACGCCGAGGTTCTTCGAGCTGCGGTGAGAGGCGAGGCCTGATGGCCCGCACTGGGAAATGCAATTTTTTCAGATAGACCGCATGACGGGCCCAATTCGGGCGATCGGTTTGGGGCGCCACTCCAGGAAAACACATGTATGTATGGCCGCCAACGCGTGATGCGTTTGGAATGCGTGGCTGGGCAGCACCGCAGCAACTGGGAGCATCCAACTGTGACGGAACACGAACAACTGAACAACTATTTCCAGCGGGCCGCGCGCGAGGCCCTCATACAGCCCAAAAGCATGTGGGATAACATCCCAAGCCCTGGTTTCGGGCAGTCCTGAGACACCTCCACACAGATGTACATGCGCATGCAGATCTAGTGGACCTCATTGGAAGTGGTACTAGACCCAATGTGGTCTTACTGGAGCAACGTACAGTTCCGAAGAGGATCCAAGGGGAAACTATTGGACATGATACGAGGTCCACTTGGACTCTATCGGAGGCCGCTCCACAATAGGATCCCGTGAAGGCTGACGCTAATTTAAAGAGGATCTTCATTGGAACCGGTACCGAGTCCAATCAGATCCTATAAGAGGTCGCACCACTTGGAATGGGAGCCCACCAACGCCGGGACCGATTTGAAACGGGGCTCCTCGCGGGTCGCGTACTTTCTAATTCGCCGGCCCAACGGGCCAGAGGCGTGCTAAGATCTCCGGTAACTGGTTCACAATATTTCTAATTCGCGCGCGCGGGGCGGCCCCTGGGGGTCCCCGGACGAAAAGTACCCCGGCAAGGTCCCAGGAGAAGCCCACAGAGCGCTCCAAGAGCGCACCAACAGGGCCTCGAGGCGTCCCCGAGAGTCCCAGGAAGGGCCAAGAGAGAGTCCCAAGAAGAGCCAAGAGCGCCCAAGAGGTTCCCAAGATGGTACACCAAGGGTCCGAGATGCCACAAGGTCGCTCAAGATAGCCCACAGACGCCCCACGAGGCTTTCAAGAGCACTCCCAAGAGGCCCCAAGAGGCAACATTCATTGCTTTTCCTTAGGTTTTGAAGAGATTTTGGCGTTTCCACCTTTTCGGCATCGCGAGGCCCCAAGACGGCCCAAGAGGCCCCCAAGATCGCCCTACTATATGCGTCTCTGCTTTCCATTTCCCGTCAACTCTCGGGCAGGTTTCTGAACGGACTGGCGGGGATTCGCGAAGTGTAACACAATACACAACACAATCGTATTTCACCAAGGAAAAACCCCAATCAATGGATGGTTTTCGCTGAGGAGATCGACCGGGAACCCGGGTGCCCGGGAACCCAGGACCTACCGAAATCGGCCCGGAACCAATAACCGGGAGCCCGGGAACCCAGCCTGCTACCAAAATCGGCGGGAAACTGTGGCCAACTCTTTCAACTTCCGCTAGGACCCCTTCAGTGCAAGTACTGATTTCGGAAATACACAGAGGCGCCGAGCACCATCCTCCTCCCCCGTCTTCGATCTTCCTCCATGCTCCACTTCCTGCCTCAGAGAGGGAGGGGAGGCATTCCCTCTCCTTGTAATAAACCGTGCCAGGACCACCAGAACTCAACTCCCCTGCTCCCCCCCAAACCATCCTCCTGCTCGTCGTCCCCCCTCTCTTCTCATCCTTGTCCCTACTCTCCTACTTCTCCCTCTTTCCTCTCCTGCTCCTCTTCCCCCCTCTTCCCTACTCTCCCTCTTTCCCCCTCCTCCCCCTACTTCTCATCCTCCTCCCTCCTCCTCCTCCTCCTGATCGTGCTCCTGCTCCTGCTCCTCGTGATCCCTCTTCCTCGTCTTCGTTCTCCATCCTCCTCCCTCCTTCCTTCCTTCCTTCCTTCCTTCCTTCCTTCCTTCCTTCCTTCCTTCCTTCCATCCTCCTCCTCCTCCTCCTCCTCCTCCTCCTCCTCCTCCTCCTCCTCCTCGTCCTCTCCTCCTCCTCCTCCTCCTCCTCCTCCTCCTCCTCCTCCTCCTCCTTGTCTCCTCCTCGTCCTCCTCTCTCTTCCCTCCTCCCTGCGGCAGGGAGGAGGGAAGAGAGGAGGGCGGGCAGGGACCCTGCCCGCCCTCCTCTCTTCTCTCTGCTCGCCCTCCACGCACGCTCGCCCTCCATTCCTCCTCCATCCCTCTTCCATCCCTCCTCCACTCCTCCATTCCTTCTCCTCCTTGTCCACCACCCACCACCCCCTCCTCCTCCTCCTCCTCCTCCTCCTCCTCTCCTCCTCCTCCTCTCATCATTCCTCCTTTCCTCCTCCTCCTCCCTCCTCCTCCTCCTCCTCCTCCTCCTCCTCCTCGTCCTCGTCTTCCTCGTCCTCCTCCTCCTCCTCCTCCTCCTCCTTCCCTCCTCCATCCCTCCTCCTCCCAATCCTTCCTACCTCCCTCCCCATAGGGAGAGGGGGGCTCTTCTCTGGAGGTAGGACTCGGCCCCCGCTGGGGCGCCCCCGATAGGCGCCCGGCCATCTCGCACTGCACCCCGGCGCGGCCGAATCCGCACGCCTCGGCCTTCACCTCTTTCGCCTGAGCGTGCGCCGCCCTGGGGGGGGAGGGCCCTCCTCGTTCTCGTTCTCCTCGTTCTCCTCCTCCTCCTCCTCCTCGTTCTCCTCCTCCTCCTCCTCCTCCTCCTCCTCGTCGTCTTTGTGGCTGTCGTCGCCGCTGCCGCCGCCGTCGCCGTCGCCGTCGTCGTTTCCTTTGGTCGCCGTCGCCGTCGCCGTCGTCGTCGTCGTCGTCGTCGTCGTCGTCGTCGTCGTCGTCGTTGTGTCGTCGTTGTTGTCGTCCTCCTTCTCCTTCTAAGCGGCCCATTCTGGAAATCCTGACTCCAGAAGGATTGTTATAGCTTGGGTAGACAACTGTTCTGCTTCCGCCGCTTGGATCGTTCTTGTTTTGCTCTCGCTGGTTTTCGTTAATTCTCTGTTGAGGAAGATCTGTCAACTTCTAGGTTCCTCGAATGGGGAGCGGGCGAGCGAGGCGCCAGAGCGGGCTCGTGCGGCGAAGCGCGTGTGCAGGTGCCCGTTTGGGCAGGGCGCGGGAGGCCGTGGCCCCCAAAACGCCTGGAAGCTGGAGGTCGGCATGTCAGCTCCCGCAGGAAGCTGCCTCGCTCGAGGACCGTCCTGGCCGTGCCGCCGCGTGCAGCCACCTCGGGTCGCTGACGTCGCCAGAGCGAAAAATCAGATTTTTCGTTCGTCCGCCCAGGCGTGGCCACGTGGCGAGTGGAGCGGGACGGTATTTTCTCGACCCCGCAGCGCTGCCACGTGCGTGCTTCGCGTTGTAGCGCATTGCATGGCAACGCATTTTAGTGCACTGCTTTGCATGGCACTGCACTGCGTTGCATCGTATTGCAATGCGTTGCGTTGCGATGCGTTGCATTGTATTGTCTTGCGTTGCAGTGCATTGCATCCTGCTGCATTGCACTGCGTCTCGTTGGCCTTGAATTTCGTCCTGTTGCATTGCGTTGCGCTGCATTCCATCAGTGCAACCCTGGCGCGTTGCATTGTACTGCGTTTCATCTGCATTGATTTTGCAGTACCTTGCATTGCGGTCAGGGGGAGGAGGACAGGGAGGGAGGAGAAGCGAAGGAGAGTGGAGGGTAGGAGGGAGGAGTGACGAGGGAAGATGAGGGATGAGGGGCAGGGGAATGGGGGGGCAGAACCAACCAACCAACCACCTGGGTAAACGGGCAACCGGCCACCTGGTCACCCAACCAATCAACCAACCAAGCGACCAACCGACCAACCAAACGACCAACCAACCAATCAACCGACCAACCGATCGATCAACCAATCAGCCGACCAAACGACCCACTGACCTTCAAACCAACCAACCGACCGACCAACCAGCTAACCAGCCAACGAGCCAACCAACCAACCAACAAATCAGCCAACCAACCATGCAACAAGCTAAAAGCCTCCAACCAACCAACTAACCAGCCAACGAACAAGAAAACCAACTAACCATCCAGGCAACCAACCACTCAACCGACCAACCAGCCAGCCAGCCAACCAGCCAACCAGCAAACAAGCCAACCAACCAACCAACTAGCCAATCAACCGACCGACCAACCAAGTAGCAAACCGACCGACCACCCCACCAACCGACCGACCAACCAACAAGTCTTGGCACACCCCTTGCACGTATCGCGCCTCAGGGACCAGACACATGCTTTTGGACCCCTCAGGGTTATCCTCCATGGCGCTTGCAGCGGTTGGCGTGCGTCGGGTCCTTTCGCTTTTTTGCCCCGACGCATCGAGCCCACGATGCGTTCGTTTTTGTGGCCAGGCCCTTGCGTTTTTCGGCCTTCCAACCAGAACACGGATGGTGCATAATTGGACAGGCGCGTTCCGCTACTCGCAAAGTAACTACTCGCAAATGGCCTGGATCCGCCACAGGGGATCTACGATATAATGCATCAAAGCAGACATGTGTTTTGGGGAAGTTTGCGAGTAGGCACTTGCGAGTAGCGGAACGCGCCCGGCGAAAAAGACAAAGCTTGGCACAACGGGGTTCCACGGACCCTCCCCCCCCCGAGGCGCCCCCCCCCGCCCGCCCGAGCCCGGTGGAGGAATCGCGCGGCAGCGCGAGTGGACTTCTTGAGCGGCAAGTCTTTCTGAACCATCGTGAGCATCTCTTTGGATCCTCCTTCCCGTGCCTTCCTCGCCACGCCGGGAGGGCGCCTCCACCGATCCCGGGCCCGGGAGAGACCAGGGCCGGTGTGCGGGCGTATCGCTGGCGCCCTCCGAGGTGGACCCAACGCTCCGACGCCGTGACTTCTTCGCAGCGGGGGCCCCCGACGGTCCTCCTACCCAGGACCAGCTCTTCCTCTTGAGCACACGCTGGTTGGACAACAATGCGTTGAAGCATGAAGTGGGAAGGCGGATCCGCCGGCCCCCTCGCGGGGCCATCAGGCTGCGAGGCTTAGATTTGCTGCTCCCTGCGCCAGTTCCAGCTTCCAGTGTGCAATGTTACAGTATTGCTTTCTGCTTCTTACTGTTAATTGTTACTGTCCGCGCGAGGGGGGGAGCCGAAAACCACCTTTTTCAGCACCCCCGAATCGCGTGCTCTGAATTTTTTTTGGGGGGCGCTGGGACAAGTAAAAATACATGAGACTCGTGTTCGCGCCCCCGAGGCCAAGACCCTTCGTAAATTACATCGTATTCGCGTCCCCGAAGCCACGATGCCATGTAAAATACATTGCATCCACGCTCCTGAGGCAACGATCCCTTGTAATTGCACCACATTCTCGCCTCTGGGGCCACGACCCCCCTATCAATTACACCAACATCGCGCCCCCGAGGCTACGATCCCTCGTAAATTACGCCGCATTCGTGCCCCCGAGGCTACGATCTCCCGCAAATTACGTCACATTCTCGCTCCCGAGGCCACGATCCCGCGTAAAGAAAACCGCGTTCGCGCCCTCGAGGCCCCGAGTAGCCCCGAGGAGGCCCCAAGAGGCCGTCAAGAGGTCCCAGGAGGCCCCAAGAGGCGCCCAAGACGCGCACAAGATGCCTCCAAGATGCCTCTAAGACTTAAGATGGTCTACGACGGCCCAACAGGCCTGCAAGAGGCCTCCAAGACGGCCCAAGAGCCATCCAAGACGTCCTCCAGGAAGGCCCGAAAGGGCCACAATCAGTGATATTCCTTAGGTTTTTGAAGGATTTTGGCATTTGCGCCTTTTCGCCTTTCCGACGGCCCAAGACGGCCCAAGAGCCCCGAAGATCGCCCAAGAGGCCCCCCAAAGGGCCCCATGACGGCCCAAGTGGCCTCCAAGGGCCCCAAGAGGACCCCAAGACGGCCCCAGAGGCCTCCAACACGCCCAAGATGGCTTCCAAGACGCCCAAGATGGCCTCCAAGACGGCCCCGAAGCGCTCCAAGATGGCCCCAAGTCGGCCCCCAAGACGGCTCCCGACGGCGTCAGACGTGCCAGGAACCCACTAAGATGGCCGAAGTTGGCTCGAAGCTGGCCCAAGACGGCCACCAAAAGGCCCCCAAGAGGGCCTCCAGGAAGGCCAGAAGAGGCCAAAAACATTGATGTTCCTATGGTTTTTGACGGATTTTGACATTTGCTTCTTTTCGGCCTTCCGACGGCCCGAGACGGCCCAAGAGCCCCCGAAGATCGCCGAAAGATCGCCCAAGAGGCCTCCAAGATGGCCCCAGAACGGCCCAAGAGGGCCCCAAGACGGCCCCAAGAGGCCCCCAAGACGGCACAGGAGGCCTTTAAGACGCCCAAGATGGGCCTCCAAGACGGCCCTGGAGCATTCCCAGAGGGCCCCAAGTCGGACCACAGAGGCCCCCCAACCGGCTTCCGACGGCGTCAGACGGACCAGGAGCCCACCAAGACGGCCGAACATGGCCCTAAGATGGCCCAAGACGGCCCAGTAGGCCTCCAAGAGGGCCTCCAGGAAGGCCCAAAAAGGCCAACATCATTGATTTCCCATGGGTTTTTGAAGGATTGTGGCATTTGCTTCTTTTCGGCCTTCCGACGGCTCGAGACGGCCCCAGAGCCCCCGAAGATCGCCCAAGAGGCCCAACACACGGCCCCAACAGGCCCCCAAGACGGCCCAAGAGGTCTCCAAGACGCTCAAGATGGCCTCCAAGACGGCCCGAGAGTCCTCCAAGACGTCTTCCAAGAAGGCCCGAAAGGGTCAAAATGGCCTCCAGACGGCCAAGATGACCTTCAAGATGCCCACGTGTTCCCCGAAGGCTTTCCAAATCGATTCGGGGAACACATCCTCCGATAGCTTGGCAGGTCTAGCCTCAACGTTCGGCCACACAGGCGCTTCCGAAAAGGCAGGGGGCGGCGGTGATTCGCCGTAGGCGTCTTCGACAACGCCAACGCTTCAATATGCGGTGAGACTCCTATCCGTCCCCGTATGCTGTTCCCAGATGCTCCAAGGCAGCGCCGAGACGCACCGACGCGACTCTCTTATATCCCATTCTGATAGAAAAGCGGCCGGTGGCAGGGGCGAAGCCCTTACGGATAAAATAGATTGGGTTCGGGCCTGCCCAAAGGATAATACACTACAGCAAACACATATCGATTCTTGAAGTAGGAAGGCGCTCGAAATAGACTTGGATCTGGCAATCCAGCGACACCTACTTTCAACGACCGGCGAGTAGTCTCTAGACTTCGGTCGGGCATGTTCCCCTACAGGCGGATTTTCTACGAACACACAAAAAACAGTACCCCCCCCAAACGGTCAAACGATAGTAACAAAATCGTCCCTGGATTAATTTTTGACTATTTCTAGATCTTCCTCCTCTAGAAGGGGACATGCCGACCTAGCTCCAGACGGCCCCAGGGCGAGGGCCCCCCCGAAGACGGGGAGGCCTCCCCGGAGAGGCGGGGGGGCCTCCCGGGAGGCCCACCCGGCAGCCGCGGGGCCTCCACTTGCTGCCGAGGGGCGCTCTCAGAGCGCCTCAAGTGCACAACAATATAGGGCGACGATATCTATACATATCCACTGCTCCTGGCCAGGCCAATCCTGGGCCCAAGAGCTGTGTATACGCCCTCCTGGCTTGGCCAGGGAGGGATATACACCGCTCCTGGGCCCAGGATGGGCCTGGCCAGGAGCAGTGGATATGTATAGATATCGTCGCCCTACAATAGCGAAACGAACAATGACATAAACATAACAGCTCGGAGGTCCGCGCGGATTTCTCGCGTCGGCGCTGGACCTTCCTGGCGGCGCCTCCGGCGTCGCCCCCGGCGCGCTCCGCGCGCCAGGGAGAGGGGTCCAGCGCGGATCCAAGAAATCCGCGCGGATCTCCGAGTTTTTATGTTTATGTCATTCCTCATTCCCCTAAGCAAAGAACTGTACCCTGGGTTTCTTCATAGGCGTGGGGGGGTACCCCCCCGACGGGGGTCAACCTCGCATCGTCGTCGCGCCGCGACGGGGGTCGGAGCGCCTTCGGCGCGCGGTGGCTGCCCGCGACGGGGGTCGATGTGGGGCTGTCGGCGGGGGTGACGCCCCCCGGACGCTTATTGAGCAACTCGGAGTACAGTACAGGGTGGACTGTGCCCGTTTGCCGGTTGCCGTGAGCGTGCTGGGGCCTCCAGGATGAAGTCCGCCACCTTGCCCCCCTTGCCCCCGGGCGCGGGCTCCACGCAGGCCTCCCGGGCACGACGGCGGCACTGGGGTGGACTGGCAGCAACAAGCAGCCGCGCACGAACCCAGACCTCCGAGGATACGATCCTTTTTTTCTATCCCAGCGCGTCCTCTCGATTTCGGCCTCTGGGGCCCGTTCTCGTGCCCCGCCGCGCCATCAAACACCACTCCGGGACGCTAGGCTGCCCCCAAGGACAGGGTCCCCAGACCCCCGTCGTCATGCATACTTCATGACGTGGATCCCCAAGGGTCTGGACCCAGTCCCCACGACCGGTTTTGCATCCTGCGCCGTTTTTTGAAAGTCCCGAGGCCCGGTGGAGGCCCCCAAAGGCCGACAATAGCGAAAAACCTCGCGTCGTGACTTTTTCATGACTTTGAGTGGGTCTGGGTCGGGAGCTCTGGGGCCGCGGAGTGGAAAAAGTCATGTCGGAGGATGTCTGGGAAGCAACTGCCAGGGCGTTCCTGCCCGCCGGCAAGCGGAAGGCACCCGGTCCCGAGCCAAAAGCCCTCCCGGCACCGTGCTGCTCCCCCTCCGCTCGCCCCCTGCTCGGTCCGAGGGAAGGCAGCTGCGGTGACGACAGCGATGCTTCCACCCACCGACGAGAGGCAAGATCAATCTCAGGAGGCAACTACTGGAGGGTCTTCGTCGGAAAGATGAAGGCAGATTGAGCCCCGTTGGAGGCTGTCACGCCAGATTCGGCCGCGGATTCAGCGGGATTGAGCCAGATTCAACGGGATTATAAGCCAGGTCAAAAAGCATTAAGCCGGATGAATCCGGATTTCGGACCAGGGCACAGCCAGAATTTGACCTCCCAGGGGGTTGCATCGAAGTCAAACAGCAGCGAAAACGTCAAATCGGGTCGGATCGGAAAATGTCGGCTTGGGCTGCGCTGGCACGGAATCGAGATCGCATGGGATCGGTGGCACCAAGATGCACAATAAACAACGCAGTGCCAAACCTCGTGCGAAATTGGATCGTCTGAATATCATCATCGGATCGAATAGAGCCAACCGGAACCGATATCGAATCGGGTCGAGCGTATCGAAGTGCACCCTGGTGGTGGGCGGATTTTCATCGATCACTGAAGACAGTCAACCAGGACGATGAAGGCACATCGGTGCAGTTGTATTTGTCAACGTCGTGGCGACCTCTCGTCCCTTGCGGGACTCTGCTGGACCAGACCGACTACTGGTCCACTGACCAACGCAGAAATCGTCGCGGCAAACTCTATCCATGCCATGACGACTTCGGTGTCAATCTCTGGCACCGCGCGGATCGTTCGGCCTCGAACGATCGCCGATAACACTGGCCGAACTCAGGGCGCCAACTGGTCGTCAACCTTGAACGCCAACGCTGGCGTAGCCACCGCGTCGACACGCCGCGAACCTGCCTGGACTGCGTCGGTGCTCGTTGACAGCCTTTCAATCTCAACCGCTCGCCATCCTGAGCCCGGGCTTTGCTCACGAGCTCTGACGCGGGACTCTTCTTGACTTTCCCTCCGCCGCGCCAAGCAAAATCAGAGCGGGGGTGGACAGAACACACTTTCGAGACACGCCCCTCAGTGGAAACAGCCTGGGACCAGCCCCAGGGAGCGCTGGCCTGCAAAGTTGCGGCCGCCTCACCCTCTCAAGAGCCGAACAGAAACAATTCGCTATACTCGACCTGGTGGAGTGGCGAACTCATCCTTGCGCTCTGCCAGGAAGGGCAGCTGTGCTCCCTCACGTGCTCGACGTGCCCGCAGTGGGGGGAGCCGAGTACAGTCGGGCTGCTGAAAGAAGGAACGCTACATAAAGGAACGAAGTCCCACCTTGGCTCCGAAAGCGCCTGCGTGGACGAGCAGCGCTAAACAGCCATGGAAGGACCTGAGGAACAGCGAGCCCCTTCCGAACCCACACTGTTCCTTATTTCAGCGTTTTGGCTGTAGCTGCCCGTGTGCTCAGAACCGCGCGCACGACGGCCAAGAAACTCCAGCTCCCAACTGTTTGATTAATATTTTTGCCAACGTGGAACACAAGCAACGGGCTCTTGCATTCTCGATGTGCGGTGTATGTGTGGTGCATTGTGTGGGATGCAGCCTGACTTGATATATATATATATGTATATATATGTATATATATATATATAGCTATGTTTGTATGTATATATATATATATATATATGTGGATGTATATGTATATATGTATACTTATGTGTATATATGTATATATATGTATATTACATATACATATTTCGATTCCCTAGAAACGTTGCTCGCACTTAGGGGTTCTTACATGTGAAATCAAGATCTGGGGCTGCGTGCAGGACTGGCGGCTATGTTGCCGCCGTCGCCGCCCCGTCGCTGGCCATCGTCTGGGTGTGCGTGCCGGTTTGGCGGCTATGTTGCCACCGTCGCTGCCCCGTCGTCGCCTCATGGCCGCCCGTTGTCTGAACATGTGCGCCAGGCTGGCGGCTATGTGAGCGCCGTCGCCGCGCCGTCGCCGCCTCGTCTCTGCCCATCGTGTGGGCCTGTGCTTCGGTCTGGCGGCTGTGTTGTCGCCGTCGCCGCCCCGTCGCCGCCCAAATTGCACAACGTAAGCTGCACCGCGCGTATTCTTTGGTTGAAAATATGAGATCAGCCCCTCCCGAGGCCGGGACTCTCCGCTCCCCATGGGGATGTGCATTTTACATCCCAGCAAAAACGCCCCCCCCCACCCCACCCCACCAACCTTCGCACAGAAACGTTCTGCGCGCACATTCGTTCATCAAAAAGCATAAACTTCCAACACATCCTTTTTGTTGGACGACGTGTACACGCGCGCGTCGCCGCGCGCGCATGTCGACGGAATTCTTCGGTTTCGGACTGGATTAGACATCGGCTGCCCCGCAAACGTACAACACACACGTGGGTTAGCAATCTGATTTTCCAACAAAAACGGTGCGCGCGCTCTTGCGAATTCTTGAACAAACATAAATATTCAATATTTCATCACATTCGACCAAGTGGGCCTCTCGCGCACGCGTGTCGGAATCATTCGAACGCTCTTCCAGGCTTGCTGGGGGGAACGTTCCTTTTTCAAATAAACCCATGCGGGCTACTCGCGCGTGTCGGCTGTGCGCGCATGTCAAGATCTTTCCAAAACCTTCATCGCCGACGCGTGGGCACCATCATCGTCCACGCCGCCGTCATTGGTCTGGCCGTCGTCATCATCGGCACCAACAGTGCTACTACCATCATCGTGTCTTCCGTTGTCGACGTCACCAGGGCGCCGCGCCCACCCGAATCACCGACTCGCAATGCCCGCGCGTCAGCGCGGCCTGCGAGACGCGCTGGGGTGCTGTGGAATCTCCAGCGGTCAGAACCACCGCGGCCGCGTCGGTCGCGCCAGGTTGGCAGGCCGCTCTGCGCGCGAGCCTGCGCGCGCTAGCGCGGCCGCAACGATGCGCCAACCAACGCCAACCAGTCCCCGCCACTGCCGCCGCATAGGTTTTGCAATCCAAGTTGCGGGTGGGTGGGCGGGATGATTGCGCGAATAATGAAGTTGCCAACTCGGTGCGAACAAATGCTGACAACACACCATACATTGCACCACGTAGATTCTATTTTTTCCAAACAAAGATTGCAGATTTACCACTTCTACCGGGTTATCCGCCGGCCTTTGTGTATTGCAACTTGCATGTGATTCCTCCACTGCGTTCTTTATGCATATGAAGCAGTACCAGCCCAAACGGTATCGCCACCCCCGTCGCCCTCCTAAAACCGTGTGCGGCGCGCACTCGTTCATCGAACGTCATACACTTTCAAGAATCCCTTACAAGAAACTGGACGAAGTGCACACGCGCGCGTCGTCGCCGAAATCCTTTACAAACTCTCAGGTTTCGAACGATTTCAAGATTGAATGTCCCGAAACTGATACAAATATAAGGTTCGACAACATCAGTTTTCGAATCAAAATCTGCGCGCGCGCTCTTGCGAAGTCTCAGGACAACCGTTTGACTCTTAAGCGAGCTCCATACATCCGACAAAATGTGCCTCTCGCGCGCGCGTGTCGACATCATTCTAACGCCCTTTCGCCCGAGCTGGGGGGGGGGGCGAGGGCACGATCCCATGCAGGCCACTCGCGCGCGTCGGCCGCGCGCGCATGTCGAAATCTTCCTAAAACCTGCATCATCGACGTGAGGACACCATCATCATCGTCATCGGTGTGATCAGTCTCGGCACCGTCATTTGCCTTGCGGTCATCGCCGTCGTTACCAATCATCATCATCATCATCATCAACATCATCATCATCATTGTGTCTACCGTTGTCGACGTCGCCATGATACCGCGCCCGCCCAAGTCACCGACTCGCACTGAAATGCTTGTTGGGAAACGCCCAGCGGTCAGCACCACCGCGTCCGCGTCGTTTGCGCCACACTAGCTGGCCGCTGTGCACGCGAGCGTGCGCGGCCGCAGAGATGCACCAGCCAACACGCCAACACCAAACACTCATCACAATCGCCGCCGCATGGGCTTCACAAATCAAATTGCGGGTTGGTGGGCGGGATGATTGCGCCAGCACTGGAGTTGTCAACTCCGAAGTTGCCAAAATTAACTTCACCACATAGATCGCACAACATCGAGTGCACCACTCATACCGCACAACATAGATCGCACCACGCCGATTGCAATGCATTGATTGTGCACCACATAGGTTGCATAACTTAGATTGCTCCACATTCTTCACACAACATGAGCCGCTCCCCATCAGTTCCACACCATACTTTGCTAGTCGGCGCTGCTTGGGGCCCACGCTAGCTAACATACAGATCCCCCCTCTCAAAACGGGCCCAAATCGGTCAGCAAGGCCGCCGAACGGCCCCGCCCCGTGAAGGTCCCAAGAGGCTCCAGACACCCGCCAGACGCCCGAAGACGACCCCCAAAAGACCCTGACAAGGCTTTCGAGACGCAGAAAAACAAAGACTTCCAAACGTTTGTGGATGATGTGCAACATGCGCCGTTCTTCAGTCTTCCGGCGTCCGAGATC